TGGGAAAAAATGATGCCTAGGCGATTTCTGGTTGTCTATAATATTCAAGATTACCACGGTGGATTAAGGTTGATAGGTGAGAACTGACTTTTTTTTTCACCTTCTTCGCAGTAACATCAGAGGTCGGCTCAATTTTGATGAGTAGAACTGCAAAGCAGCGGTTCTTGTGGAATTTGTCTCTTCCTTTTTTCTCTGTAGTTCGGATGTTGCGAGAGTAATTGAAACATCCTCACCGACAAAATTGTTTGATGTGATATGGTTCAAATGTTTTGCTCTTTGGGACTGGACTAAACCAAAAATTTCGTCGCTCTTGACGTCGATGAGAATCCGCCGAAGAGATTTGATGGGTAAAGGAGACTTCGACCTTGCAGCCTCAGTGGTAAGAATTGTATTGAGCATGGAGGCTGTGTCATTCAATGCCATGAGATCCGAATGTTGAACTAAGCCAGTAACAAGTCCATAGGGGAGCTTGCTGCTGGACCTTGAAATCCACGACACCAATTTTGCGTTGGAGAACAAACCATGACCAACCACGTGCGGGAGCTCGAGGCCGCTCGCAACGGTCCTCAGCAGGTTTCAGCCCATATGAGACAGTTCACGTTAAAATTTGCTGCAACAGAGACAAGAGTGATTATGGGAGAATTTGAAGATCAAATACATAGGATTCAGCTGGTACTTGTGCATTATGAGTGAGCATGTGTCCATCCTATGAAAGGTGAGCAATGGACATCTGGGTTGCATCTGGGAAGTTGCCAGAACAACTAGCGGAAGCAGATAATATTCGGCATTGGCGGTATGAAATATGAGACTGGGCTGAGTGGAGGTACTAGCGGTGACGTTCCAGTCGGCGCATAAATTATTTGCGATTGTTGGAAATGGACGCGATCCAAATGAATTCTGTAATAGTCCATTGCGCGAACACGCAAAGGGGTGCCGTCAGACCAGTCAGATCTGTGAGTCAACCAACACGGATCACTAGATAGCCTGATAGTGGGCTCTGCGGCGCAGCGGGCTACTGTAATTATATTCGATGGCGAAATCAACTTCCTTCTTTGAATTTCCGGACTCCATCGATGAGCACATCACCTGACTTGCCGGAATCAATTGAACTCCCTCGCCTACATACGGTACATACAATTTGATTCGATGGCCGAAGCCTTCAAGATTATCTGCCGCTCGACAAAGTCAAAGCAATATTTGGAGATAGGCTGCCCCGTACGTCTCGAATACTTGATCGACGTGGTTCGTTTTTCTGTTGAAAACAAACGATTAATTCAGATTAAATATTACGATACGAGCCTTTCTACTACTCCTGAGTACTAACTAAAAAGAAACAGAGAGGGAAAACGAAAAGGACGGAAAGGGTCTGTTTGAAGGAAGGGCAGCTGCAGATTGGTAAACGGTGCACTGGTCTCGATAATCCAAATTCAATCTTTCGCGCTCGCATCGTACAAGGGGCAGAGTTGATCCCAGGCGGCTGTGGACGGGTGGGAAAGATGAGTGTACTTCCAGGAAGATTCTGACGGTACTTACGCGGAGGGTCCTCATGCGATATGGTCGGGACGTCTTCCGCGAAAACGATTGCCAGGCCGCTTGGGCAGGTCAGCACGATATTTCGGAGGGGCATTTGACGAGACCTACGCATCTAAATGCCAATCTATGTGACAGTGGAGGAACCCTGTAAGATGGTGAGAAATGTCGGCCATGATAGTATCATCACGGATGCGTACATGGGCCGGCATTGTCGGTCACGAATCTATGTTGGCATGATGTTGGTCATAGACAGTGAAGCGCACACCTGACATTACCTGAAGGTTGAAAGGTCCGTCGTAAGTTCTCCGGTTGATATCACGTCCCTGATAACCTGGAAATGGTCAGTCAGGTCTGGAGAATGATAAAATGTGAGGAACTATTTACAGGGTTATCGAAGTTGTAAGTCGAATTTCCGGCGGAGCGGATCACATGGAAATTGTGCTATAGACTGATATTAGACATAAATCAGACCTTTCCAAAAACACTCACTCCGTGCAAGTGGAACGGATGCTTCGAATCAACATCAGCCATCACGTGCAAAGTCATCAACACTCAAGATGAACTCACCGGAGCGCCAGGAGAACCTCCAGGAATGCTGACTTCAATGACCTTGTTCGACGGAAGAGGGATCACACTTCCGGCCGGCAGGAGTTCCTGTGCGGTGTGCGCGCCGGATAGGATCTGAAGAAGGACTGGCACGTTTGGAGACGTGAAGGTCTACAAGTTTTTTTTCTAAGCATCTCCCAGTGGAAGAAATAAATCTGCGCACAGAGCCATTGAGTTGCCATGTGAACGTCGTGAAGTCAATCCCAATTTCAAGGCGAATGTTCTTATCTGCTCCTCCCGGCACATGGAGTCCAGGAACCGGGGTGGAGACCAAGGGATGAAGCGCAGTCTCGACAAGCGGTTGACGAATGCTGGAAATTGTTGTGGGGTCGCGCGCAGGTGCACCCACGTATCGCAGGATGGCGCTGTTCGTTGCGTTGACGAAGCCCTGATTGGTCCCAGCCAGTGTGGGCTGTGCACGGATCTTGGGAACGAGGTAAATAGGCATCTATCAAAAGAAACTAGGACGAACCCAGTAGTTGTCGATCTTCTTGTTAGCTGTCAAGACGAAGGAATAACGTTGGCCAGCTAAAGTAGGTGGTGAGTGTGATGATTTTCGTGGAAAACAAGAACGACATACCAAAGATCTGAATCGAATCAACAGTCAAGGGTTTGTGATTGACGCCGTCCACCTCTATTATAGTCATGGAATGCCCGTCAATGCTGAATATAGAGATGGTCAGCATAACGGAAATGAAACGTAGCGAGCGCGCAAACCTGAAGATCCAGTTGGGATCACAAGACATGGAAATCAGGCGGAACCTGGCAGTAATATGGTCAGAGAAGCTTTCAAGAGACAACACTGGAAGTATACCTGTATCGCCTCTGCGGGACGACGCTAATGACTGCGAGCGGGGTCAGAGGCTTGGGTACTTGTGAGAGACATTCAAGTGTTCAATGAATTGCGACTTACGCCCCCTTGGTATCGGCCGAGTCCATTGATAAGCGTGGAATTAAACATGTTGGGAGATTGCTTAGGAGATTGTGGTGAGAGATAATGATACCAGTCGGACAAGGTTAAAATCGTCGATTCTAGGTCGACTCAGCAAAGGGATTGCACTCGCAGCATCTCTCCTCACCGTCGTCCACATCTTTGAAGGCATTCAGCTTACATCAAACATACCCCCAAAAATGAACTCACCATATAGGCTCTTGGCTGGGTCAGCCAGGTCATATACTGTTGGATTCCAGTTACTGAGATATAAGCCATGAATTGCGCTGAAAATCTACCGACTAGTGGCCCGCGTAATCCATCACAATATTGTGTCGCTGAGTGCTATAGTGAGATGGGAATTGAAAGCTAAGAAAAAACCTACAGAGATGAGAATGATACCAGTAAGTTCCTAAAACATCAATGTTAAACATGCTTCCGATACGTCCGAGATCAAGGTATCAGACCTGCTTGATCCCTGGAAATAATCATCCGTGAGCATGAAGAACGAGAAACATGATAACAACGTACGGAACTGTGAAGTCGTACACGAATGAGTTGCCTGGGACAATGGGGCATTCTTCACTTCTGGTTAGTTTGGTACCGTTCTTTATGAGTCAAAGTAACAGACGGGAAACGAAAGCGGGGCCATCAGCGTAGTTCGTGCCCTTTTGGAAGAGGCCATGCCAATGCTAAAAGTGTTTTGAATTAGGTATTTCCAGATGCAGAGATTGGATGAGATGTACTCACTATACTGGTACTTTTGACCATCGACTTGTCCGTCAGGTTGTCAACAACGTTGATCTGGAAGCGGTCTCCCTGAAGGCAGCGATCTCAGATACGGGAAGGTCGGATCATAGAACCATTGTTACCTTTTTACCCTTGATGAGCGGGCCTGGGAAGGTTCCACCAGCGAGAACAGCCCTGTTGTCGTTAAGTCATATTATCTATGGCTACAGGGAAAGGGATTTCACTTACGGGCGAACGAATCCATCCGGTGAGATCACCTTGTTCGCCACATTGAGTGTTCCGGAAGGTCCAAGTGCAGCATAAGTGCCGGAAAGTGCAGAAAGAATCAAAAAGGTCGCTGTTAGCATAACCGTGCAGAGGGAAATAATATAAAGAAGGAAGGGTTAAAAAACTGAGCAGACAAGTGAGTTGACCTTTTATATGTACTGTCGGCGCGGCCGTGACATCGCAACAAAGCGCACAGATTGCATCAAGACAACTATTCTCGTTCGCCTGACATAAATCTCCAAATGTCTGGCTGTTTTGCATCCTGATCGGCAATGGGTTTAGAGAGCCCGACCTGGGGATTTAGAGGGCCCGAATGGACCGGAGAATGATTCATTGGAGCGCTAGTTTGAAAAAACGAGACGTTTCCGCCGTTGTCGAAAACCATGGCAATGCGGGATTAAAGTGCTGTCTTTCCCGAGGTGCTGTATGAACCGCCAATAATACCCGAGTCCAACCCCGAGTCTATGTTTCAGAGTCATGAGGGCGGCTCGGAGGATATCCAGACTCCATAGAACGGTAATCCGGCCGAAGTTCCGCTGGAGACAGATGGCAACTTCACTTTCTATATTAAGCTCATCGACTATCTTTGAACTTTTTTTATAGAGTCTGACTGGATCGGAGCGGATCACATGGAAATTGTGCTATAGACTGATATTAGACATAAATCAGACCTTTCCAAAAACACTCACTCCGTGCAAGTGGAACGGATGCTTCGAACCAACATCAGCCATCACGTGCAAAGTCATCAGCACTCAAGATGAACTCACCGGAGCGCCAGGAGAACCTCCAGGAATGCTGACTTCAATGACCTTGTTCGACGGAAGAGGGATCACACTTCCGGCCGCCAGGAGTTGCCTGAGTACCGGTTCAATTTGCATTGTAGCTAAGAGCATTGTAACTAAGAGTTCGGAATGACCCAGTGGTGCAATGGCTAGCATATCTGCATATTATTCAATATTGATCATAATCATTTCTGCAGGAGACCCCCCCCCCCCCGTTCGACTCGGGGTTGGGTCATTGGTGCTGTGTTAGGTTTTTTTCCCTCGTTTTTTAAAAAAAAACTATTACATAATTGAAAATTTCCACAGCAGGTTCATTGAATCAAGAGTGTATCAATAGTAGTACGCAGGACAGAGATCCTCGTCCGATGTTCAACTTGATAATAAATTCCCTACACCAAATAACACTACCTTCCCCCCGCAAAAGAACCTTTAAATGACTCAGTGGTGTAACCGGACTTGCTGAAAGTCAACTTGGCGAGTACGATGTCACCAAAAGAGATCCCCTTCAAGTCGGGGCTTGGTCCATTTTTCTTATCTCATTTATATTTATTTTGTTTCTCATGCACTTGATCCGAAGACAAAATCAGTCGAATGTATTCAAAGTCAGTTGAAAGGACAGGAAGACCCAGTGGTGCAATGTCCAGCACGTCTGCACAATTTGAACATACATTGTAAATTTCTGCAGGAGCCCCCTGTTCGATTCGGGGCTGGGTCATATGTCTGTGGATGAATTTTTTTTTAAGCTTTTTTGTAGCAGGGGCCGGGGAGGATTGCTTGGCTGCATTTTTTTTACCACTTGATCATATTATTTCCACAACACCATAATTCTCGGGTGTATCAATCTATAAGGCTGGTGGTATGCAGGACATCCTTGTCCGATGTTCAACTTGCCTCCCTTACACACAACACTGATAGCCAGCTCACCACCCCCATAAAGAACCTTTAAATGACTCAGTGGTGTAACCAGTAACACACTTGCTACACTTGGAAGGGTCGCAGTATTTCAAGCAAGAGATCCCCGTTCGACTCGGGGCTGGGTCATACAATTTTTGTTTTGTTTTGTTCCCACATTCAACCCGAAGACAAAATCTTTCAGATGTATTCAATGCCAACTGAAGGACAACAAGACCCAGTGGTGCAATGGTCAGCACACCTGCACAATTTAATCATTGCAGGTAAATCGTTCTGCAGGAGTTCCCTGTTCAACTCGGGGCTGGGTCATTTGTCTTTGAGGTTTTTTTTTGCATTTACATGTAAATCTATTCTCTTTTTTTCCGAGGAGATTTTTTACTACTTGATCGCATTTCCACGACAACATGATTCAAGCGTGTATCACTAGTAGTATGCAAAGGATTTCCTCATCCAATGTTTAGCTTGACTTCCTTAATTTTACACCAATATCACAATATTTGGTCTGTTCAACTTCCTCACAAAGAAGTTTTAAATGACTCAGTGGTGTAACCGGAACCAGAACCACACCTGGACAATTTCACGCGTTCCTGAATTCATGATTGCTCTTCAAGAGCTCCCCATTTCAAGTCGGAGCTGGGTCAATTTTTTTTTCGCTTACGCCCAAGATGGTCAACCTCATTTGAAAGAAAAAATAAAAGACCTAGTGGTGCAATGTCAGCAGCATACCTACACAAATTGCATCATGAAAAATGTATCCTGAAGGATACTAGTCACCTCCACAAAGAACCACTAAAGACCCAGTGGTATAACCGGGAACACACTTGCTAAAACTTCTAGCCGAGCACGATCCTATGCAAGAGACCCCCGTTTGACTCGGGGCTGGGTCAATTCTTTTTTTTTCTTTCTTCCATCTTACCCTTATTCTCCTTAAACCCGAAGACAAAATCAGTCAGATATATTCAATCCCAGCTGAAAGTACAACAGACCCAGTGGTGCAACATCCAGCACACTTGCCAAATCTAATCCGCTACTCCCTACGTTTAAGCAAGAGATTCCCGTTCGACTCGGGGCTGGGTCATTTTTTTTTCACTCATGTTCAATTTGTTTCTCGTAAAATCCGAAGACAAAATCAGTCAAATCTATTCAAAGCCAGTTAAAAGGACAAAAGACCCAGCGAAACCTTTGTGCATTTTTACAGCTAAGGTTAAAGGTAGCGTCGATTCCTTCGAGTCGGACTTGCCGCCATATAGATTTTGCGCTCACTGTAATTCTAATTTCTGGTGTTTTCTTTCTTTCGTGGGACGAGATTGTGACCATCCGTGTTTAATTTTCTGCGCAGTGTTCGTACTTCAAGCAATTTTATCCCACTGCTCGAAAAACCGGGGACATTCCCGCTCAGCAAAGTGGGGAGAGTAAATGGCTTCCCAGCTTAAATTACTTTCAGAACAATTGCAATGAAGTTATGAACGGCACATGGAGCATCAAACTAGCATACATTCCTACTAATACGACTAAGTTACTGTACGCGAGCTTTCTTTGTCACGCTGGAGCCCTCAACGTCATCAACACTCAACATGCCTGCCGCCTTCCTCTTCTCCCCAACCACACGCCTCCCCTCTCCACGTAACGCGCTATTCTCCCCCTCGAGCCGCACGATCTCTGCCTTCATAAGCGCTTCGCCCACCTTCATCTGCGTTTCTCCCGTCTTCAGCACTGCGATCTGCGCCCTCAGCGCCGCGATCGTGTCCAGATCGCGGTGGTACTGCGTATGTTACAGAAGGATGCTGGCGAGGAGGGCGGAGACGCAGGGGGCTGTGAGAGCGATGGGGTCTATGAAAAATGGGTTAATAATTCAATAAGTACGCACGTCTAGGCTGATCACGACGTATACGCAGCCGCCGCCGGCGGCACCGGCGGGAGGACCACCTCCATAGTATTCGGTGCGACAGGCAGTGTGTTTGCTGGATGGGAGCTGTTGGGGGGAGGCAGGCATGATGAATATTTTGGGGCTGAGAATCCAGATTGAGCTCGAGATTAAGAAGGAACAGAACGCGGGACAAACGGTTGGCAAAAACAGTCACCAATCACATATTAATTATCGGCTGACCTGTTCGCTTCTCCTTTGAACCCCGAAGTTCGAACTGTGGCTGTGTTGCCGAAGGCCTCCTTGTGCGGTTAATATATGCGTCACTTTTCTTATTGAATCCATACCGCGCTGCGGGAGGGGCAGCACAGTGCTATCGCGCACTTAACCGCCCCCGCAGCGTGGTAGGATGGGGTAATCGCCACCGCCATCGCCCGAGCATCGCGCCATCGCTCGAGTGGTGGCCACAACGCAGAGCGAGGATCCGCGGCATCGCCCAGCCCAAGTGTGGATGGTTACGGGGTGGCACCGCGCTCCCGAAAAAATAAAAAGAAAGCAAAAGCTAAAGCAAAAAAAAAAAAAGAGAGAAAAGGCCTAGCCCAATCGCCCACAGTGCTAGCCTAACCGCCCCCGAACGGGTAGCGCAGCGCGCAGGATCGCGCCATCCAGCACCCCGGAACCGGACGAGCGGCACCCGCAGCTGTAGCATCAAACTGGTGTGCCGGTGTGGTCTTCCGGGGTGTCGGGGGCGGACTGGATGGTATTAACGGTAAGTACAAAGGTGTGAAGGAAACGGAAGGAAGAAGGTTGATGGTGTGGGGGCGAAGGTGCCTGGATGTGCCCCACAAGCGCGGTGCCGCACCAGTGCGACGCGCGCGACACGCCCACTGAAGGAAGGAGTGAAGAAAAAGAAAGGCGTGAACCTTATCCCCCAGGCAAGTACACGAACATGACGTCCTCGGGGAACGCGAGCGCGTCGGCGTCGCGTTCCGCGATGAGCTCCGCGAGCCCGGGGTTGCGCATCGCGGTGAGCTAGAAGTTGGGGATGGCCTTAGGCGCGGGCAAGACACTCGCGCTTGTACTGGTTCTGCAGATGCGTCTGCTGGACCTGCACGCCCATGAGGCCCTCCACGCGGCGCTTCACCACGGTGGGCAGGCTGTCGATGTACCCTGAGCTGCGCCCCAGCAGCCCCACGAACTTTCCCTGCACCATCCCCAGCATCGCGCTCTGCATCCCGTCTGCCCCCAGCGCGCTGAGCTCGTCGCCCACCTCGGGCTCTTCGAAGATGTCCGGGACCGTGGGCCGCGAGAGCCCCGCAGAAATGGGCGCGTGTGTCATAGGCGTGTTTTGCGGCGTCGGCGCGGTGAGGCCAGAGGACGACGAGGAAATGGGCACAGAGGAATTCATGGTGGTCAAGGGAGAGTTTTTGGAGCGGAGATAGATGGCGGAGTTTCAATTGGGGTTGCCGGTGTTTGAGGTGATGGCTACTGAGCAGCGGTTCAATTTGCATTGTTGCTAAGGGTGCAGAACGACCCAGTGATGCAGCGGCTAGCACACCTGTATATTATATGAGTTTAACCAACTTCTGCAGGAGACCCCCGTTCGACTCGGGGTTGGGTCATTGGCGCTGTGTTAGGTTTTTTTCCCTCGTTTTTTTTAAAAAAACTAATATATAATTGAATTTTTCCACAGCAGTTTCATTGAATCAAGAGTGTATCAATCTATAAAGTCAGTACTATGCAGGGCAGAGATCCTCGTCCGATGCTCAGCTTGATAATAAATTCCCTCACCAAATAACACTACCTCCCCCACAAAGAACCTTTAAATTACTCAGTAGTGTCACCAGCATAAATACATTTGCTAAAAGTCAACTTGGCGAGTACGATTTCACCACAAGAGATCCCGTTCAAATCGGGGCTTGGTCCAATTTTTTTTACTAGTCTTTTATATTCATTTTGTTCTCGTGAAATAAGACAAAACCAGTCGAATGTATTCAAAGTCAGTTGAAAGGACAAGAGGACCCAGTGGTGCAATTTCCAGCACGTCTGCACAATTTGGTACCGAACCGGAACAAGGTTCTGCAGGAGCTCCCTGTTCGAGTCAGGGCTGGGTCATATGCATAGTTTCATGAAGCTTTTTTTTTAGCTTTTTTTTTTAGCACGGGCCAGGGAGGATTGCTTGGTTGCATTTTTTCCCCCCACTTGATCATATTGTTTCCACAACAACATGATTCGAGTTTATAAGGCTGGTGGTATGCAGGACATCCTTGTCCGATGTTAACTTGCCTTCCTTACACACAACACCGATAGCCTGCTCACCTGCCCCATAAAGAACCTATAAATGACTCAGTGGTGTAACCAGTAACACACTTGCTAAACTTTGAAGGGTCGTATTGGCATTATTTCAAGCAAGAGATCCCCGTTCGACTTGGGACTGGGTCATACAATTTTTGTTTTGCTTTTTTCCCACATTCAACCCGAAGACAAAATCTTTCAGATGTATTCAATACCAGCTGAAGGACAACAAGACCCAGTGGTGCAATGTTCAGCACACCTGCACAATTCAGTTCTGCATCGATTTGCTCTGCAGGAGATCCCTGTTCGACTCGGGGCTGGGTTGTTCATCTTTAGCATCTTTTTTTGCATTTAAATTTAAACTCTTTTTCTTTTCATATTTTTTTTGCCACTTGATCACCTTTTTTCCTAAAAGCAACATGATTCAAGAACATGTCAGTCTATAAGGCTGGTAGTATGCAGGAGATCCTACTAGTCCGATGCTCTATGTTCAACTTGTCTTCTTTACACACAACACTGATATCCTGCTCACCTGCCCCACAAAGGACCTTTAAATGACTCAGTGGTAACACACTTGCTAGACCTTAAGAGGTCCCATTCAAACATTAGACAGACACTTCAACAGATCTAACTCGTACCTTGTTTGTTGAAGTCTGTAATTGATCGCGGGGGTCCGATTGGGCCAGGATCTTATTAGTAATCGTCGGAGTTGTGAAATCTCAATATAAACGCGCGTTGTGCACTCTTTGCGATGATTAAAGCTCTAAAAACTCTTCTAGAGAGTCTAGGGAGTCACCTCATATGTTCTGTACATGTATGATATTTTATTTGAGCTCTGTGAATACATCTAAAATTTTGCGACGCGGTTGTGGGAAACATCAGTTGATGCCATCAGCTTCCGGCGGTTTCCGTGGGCTCAATGCTTTCAGCACCTGTTGGGTAGATTATCAAGAATCTGAGGAGACTAGACGTGCTACCCATGTCTAAAGCCCTCAAATCCCAAAAAGAATCACATTTGATGCCCTCTGCGCCGCGGAATCAATGCGACGAAATTTGAAAGTCCAATGATTAGTCATAAGCTTCTGCTCCAATCAGACCCCACTGATGGCAACAGGACTAATTCAAACAGTGTTATGCAAGAGATCCCCGTTCAACTCGGGGCTGGGTCAATCCTTTTTCTTTCTTTCTTCCGTCTTACCGTTATTTGTCCTGAAATCCGAAACAAAAGTCAGCTAGATATATTCAACACCAGAAGAAGGGGAAAAGGACCCAGTGGTGCAATGCTTAGCACACCTGCATAATCTGAGTCGCTCTAGAAGTTTCTGTAGGTGATCCCTGTTCGAGTCGGGGCTGGATCTATCCATTTTTTTTTATCCATGTTCAATCTATTTCTCATTGAACCCGAAAACAAAATCTTTCAGATGTATTCAATGTCAGCTGAAGGACAACAAGACCCAGTGGTGCAACATCAGCATACCTGGACAAATTAATTGTAATGAAAAGAACACATTACTGCAGGAGATCCTCGTTCAACTCGGGGCCGGGTCATTCCTCATGGGTGTCTTTTTTCTTGTTTTCTTTTACTGAGGCTTTGGTCCGAGGCTTAAAACAACCCACGACCCAATTCAAACCTGGTGAAGGCACCAAAAGACCCAGTGGTGCAATGCTTAACACACCTGCACAACTTATTGCAATACTCTCTTTGTCGTACAGGAGATCCCTGTTCAATTTGGGGCTGGGTCATATTATTGCAGTTTTTTTTTTATCTCAGGGGAGGGTTACTTCGTCGCATTTCTTTTCTACTTACTCCCATTTTTTCACAACGGCTTCATTAAGTCAAGTAGTAGTATGCAGGGCAGAGATCCTCATCCGATGTTCAATTTGATAATAAATTCGCTACACCAAAGAACACTACCTCCCCCACAAAGAACCTTTAAATGACTCAGTGGTGTAACCGGCATAAACACACTTGCTAAAAGTCAACTTGGCGAGTACGATTTCACCACAAAGAGATCCCGCTCAAGTCAGGGCCTGGTCCATTTTTTTTTACCGGTCTTTTATATTCATTTTGTTTCTCGTGAAATCCGAAGTGTCAAAATCAGTTGAATGTATTCAAAGTCAGTTGAAAGGACAAGAAGACCCAGTGGTGCAATGTCCAGCATGTCTGCACAATTTCAGAATCCGTTGTAAGTGTTCTGCAGGAGCTCCCTGTTCGAGTCAGGGCTGGGTCATATGCATAGTCTCATGAAGCTTCTTTTTTACCTTTTTGTTTTAGCAGGGGTCGGGGAGGATTGCTTGGTTGCATTTTTTTTTTACCACTTGATCATATTGTTTCCACAACAACATGATCGAGCATGTATCAATCTATAAGGCTGGTGGTATGCAGGACATCCTTGTCCGATGTTCAACTTGCCTTCCTTACACACAACACCGATAGCTTGCTCACCTGCCCCATAAAGAACCTATAAATGACTCAGTGGTGTAACCAGTAACACACTTGCTAAACTTTGAAGGGTCTTAGTGGCATTATTTCAAACAAGAGATCCCCGTTCGACTCGGGGCTGGGTCATACAAATCTTCTTTGTTTTTTCATCCACATTCTAGGGATGGCCGAAGACAAGATCTATTCAATCCCAGCTGAAAGTACAACAGACCCAGTGGTGTAGCATCCAGCACACTTGCCAAATCTCATCCTCCTCCACAGGTATAAACAAGAGATTCCCGTTCGACTCGGGGCTGGGTCATTTTTTTTTTCAATCATGTTCAATTTATTTCTCATAAAATCCGAAGACAAAATGAGTCAAATCTATTCAAAGCCAGTTGAAAGGACAAAAGACCCGGCTTGTCCATTTTTTACAGCTAAGGTTAAAGGTAGCGTCGATTCCTTCCAGTCGGACTTGCCGCCATTTGGATTTTGCGCTCACTGTAATTATAATTTCTGGCGTTTTCTTTCTTTCGTGGGATGAGATTGTGACCATCCGTGTTTAGTTTTCTGCGTAGTGCTCATACTTCAAGCAATTATATTCCACTGCTCCCTCGAAAAACCGGGGACATTCTCGCACAGCAAAGTGGGAAAAGTAAATGGCTTCCCAATTAAATTACTCTTAGAGCAATTGCAATAACGTTATAAACGGCACATGGAGCATCAAACTAGCATACATTCCTACTAATACAACTAAGTTACTACACGCGAGCTTTCTTTGTCGCGCTGGAGCAACTGCAAACCTGCGCGGCAGCCCACGCCACATGTTGGCATGCATCCCACCGCGCCTCCTGGAGAAAAGAAATGACAACCCCCCCAAAAGATAAGGAAAAGAAAAAAAAGAAAGAAAAAGGCGAGCAGAGCGCGGAATGTGGGGTCATATGGCCCTGCGATGGGACGCGTAGCGTCCGACGAGCCCCCAGTGTTGCGCCTAGCCGCCGCCCGAACGGGCAACATGTAGGATCGCCGAAACGGGCAGGGCGAGCGGGATCGCGTCATCGCCATCGCGCGCGCGCGCGGGACCCCTACCCGTAGGGCAGCCAAAACGGCGAGGCGGGAATCCGCGCAACGGGTGGGTACGCCCCCGCAGGAAAGAGCGCCACGGACGGGGGCGGACTCCCCCCCCCAAAAAAAAAAAACGCAAACGGAAAGGAAAGAAGAGAAAAGGCGTGACAGACACCAAGACACCAACGCGCCGCGCTCCAACGGGCCCCCACAAAAAAAAAAGGCCCCGCGCAGAAAACGAATCCAGACCAATCGTGGGATAAAAAAACACAAAAAGACCCACCTATAGCCCACCTCCTCCTGGTAGATGTACGTCTTCGTCAGCACGCGGTTGTCGAAGAACGGGTTCGCGGCGCCAAAGTGGAAGGAGAGCGTGAAGCCCGGTTTGCCGGTATAGTCGTCGGCGGCTGGGGGGTCTGATTTGGGGGCGGACTAAGAGGAGGGGAGGGGGTTAGTTGTGAAACAAAAAGGACAAGTGAAGAGAAAGGAGGAGTGAAGAAGAAGAACAGAAAAGAAAGGCACCTTATCCCCCACAGGCAGGTACGCGAGCGTGACGTCCTCGAGGAACGCGAGCGCCTCGGCGTCGCGCTCCGTGATGAGCTCGGCGAGACCCGGGTGGTTGCGCAGCGCGGTGAGCCAGAAGTCGGGGATGCCGTTGGGGGCGGGGGCGTCTGCGTCTGCGGCGTCTGGATTGGATTCAGCACGTGGGATGGGGATGGGGACGTAAGGGAGTGAGGGCAACGCACCCTCGGGAGCGGATGAGAGCGGGACGTAGTCCTCGTCGTCCTTGAGCGATTGTGCTTCGCCGGCGGCGACTTCCTATGTGAATAAAAAAAAGAAGTCAGATCGCAATCGATGAAGGTCAAAAAAAAAGAAGGGACACGAACCTCGTCCGTGACGGGTGAGGCGCCGGAGATGATGGCGGTGCGGCGCGCGTAGAGTGGTTTTTGGAGTTCGAGATACTGTGGCGGGTAAGTTAGTAGGATAATAAAAAAATTAGGGGGGATATGACAAAGGCAGAAAAGTCGGAGCCGACGCGGATGGGACGACTTTTTTCGAGGAGCGCATGCGCCCCGCCCATCGCGACCATCGCGTACTTCCCCAAAGCCCCACTCGTCCCCCAGACGCACCCCGCACCCAGAAACGCCCCACGCCCGCCCCACGAGGCCTTGCCACTCAGGGCGCCAAAAAACCCCAGAGAAAAAAGAACTCGACACCCACCTTACGCTCCAGCTCAAGACACTCGCGCTTGTACTGATTCTGTAGATCCGTCTGCTGGACCTGCACGCCCTTGAGGCCCTCCACGCGGCGCTTCACCACGGTGGGCAGGCTCTCGATGTACCCCGAGCTGCGCCCCAGAAGCCCCGCAAGCTTCCCCTGCACCATCCCCAGCATCGCGCTCTGCATCCCGTCTGCCCCCAGCGCGCTGAGCTCGTCGCCCACCTCGGGCTCTTCGGAGATGTCCGCGACTGTGGGCCGGGAGAGCCCCGCAGAGATGGGCGCGTGCGTCATAGGCGTATTTTGCGGCGTCGGCGCAGTGAGGCCAGAGGACGACGAGGAAATGGGCACAGAGGAACTCATGGTGGTCAAGGGAGAGTTTTTGGAGCGGAGATAGATGGCGGAGTTTCAAATGGGGTTACGGGTGTTTGGGGTGATGGCTGGCTGCACGAGTTCAATTTACATTGTAACTAATAATACAGAATGACCCGGTGGTGCAATAGTAGCACACCTGCATATTATAGACTAGTTTGTTGAATAATTTGTGCAGGAGACCCCCGTTCGACTCGGGGTTGGGTCATTAGCGTCGGCCTAGCTTCTTTTTCCCTCGTTTTTAAAAAAAAACTAATACATGATTGAATTTTTACACAACAGCTTCATTGAATCAAGACTGTATCAATCTATAAGACTAGAAGTATGCAGGGCAGAGATCCTCGTCCAATGTTCAACTTGATAATAAATTCCCTACACCAAATAACACTACCTTCCCCCTGCAAAAGAACCTTTAAATGACTCAGTGGTGTAACCGGACTTGCTAAAAGTCAACTTTGCGAGTACGATTTCACCACAAGAGATATCCCGCTCAAGTCGGAGCTTGGTCCTTTTTGTTTTTACCTCTTTTATATTCATTTTGTTTCTCGTGAAATCCGAAGTGTCAAAATCAGTCGAATGTATTCAAAGTCAGTTAAAATGACAAGAGGACCCAGTGGTGAAATGTCCAGCACGTCTGCACAATTTAGTCTGGTCGGAATTTTGAGGTTCTGCAGGAGCTCCCTGTTCGATTCAGGGCTGGGTCATATATCTGCGTGGATCTTTTTAGCTTTTTTTAGCAGGGGAGGATTGCTTGGTTGCATTTTTTTTTACCACTTGATCATATTATTTCCACAGCAACATGATTCAAGTGTGTATCAGTCTATAAGGCTGGTGGTATGCAGGACATCCTTGTCCGATGATCAACTTGCCTTCCTTACACACAACACCGATAGCCTGCTCACCTCCCCCATAAAGAACCTTTAGATGACTCAGTGGTGTAGCCAGTAACACACTTGCTACACTTGGAAGGGTCGCAGTGTTTCAAGCAAGAGATCCCCGTTCGACTCGGGGCTGGGTCATACAATTTTTGTTTCGTTTTTTCCCACATTCACCCATATTCGCGTGAAACAAAATCTTTCAAATCTATTCAAAGCCAACTGAAGGACAACAAGACCCAGTGGTGCAATGGTCAGCACACCTACACAATTTATTCCTTCTCATACTTGTTCTGCAGGAGATCCCCGTTGAACTCGGGGCTGGGTCATTCAATCTTGTGGCAGCTGTTTTTGCATTTAAACTTAAACTCTTTTTCTTTTTGTATTTTTTTGCCACTTGATCACCTTTTTTTCCAAAACAACATGATTCAAGAGTATGTCAGTCTATAAGGCTAGTAGCATGCAGGAGATCCTACTAGTCCGATGCTCGATGTTCAACTTGACTTCCTTACACACAACACTGATAGCCTGCTCACCTGCCCCACAAAGAACCTTTAAATGACTCAGTGGTGTAATTGGTAACACACTGCTAGACCTTAGAAAGTCCCAAACAGTCTTATGTAAGAGATCCCCGTTCAACTCGGGGCTGGGTCATACAACTTTTATTTTTATTTCTTTCCCACGTTCAACCCGAAGACAAAATCAGTCCGATATACTCAAACCCAACTGAAGGACAACAAGACCTAGTGGTGCAACGTGCAAAAATTGTGTCAACCAAGAATGAGCTTATTCTGCAGGAGATCCCGGTGCTGGGTCATGTTTTTTGTTCCATCATCCGTGTTCAATTTGTTTCTTGTGAAATCTGAAGACAAAATGATGCAGATCTATTCAAAGGCAGCCAAAGCACAAAAAGACCTAGTGGTGCAATGTCCAGCACACCTGCATAATCTTAATCCTGCTTGAAGGTTCTGTAGGAGACCCCCGTTCGACTCGGGGCTGGGTTTCACACTCTTCAATTTGTTTCTGTTCGGGAAAGAGGAAATCAGTCCGATATACTCAGAGCCAGCTGAAAGGATGAAGAGACCCAGTGGTGCAACATTCAGCACACTTGCACCTACTAGCGGGTATTCAACTGATTCTTCATCAGGAGACCCCCCGTTCAACTCGAGGCTGGGTCAATCCTTTTATTTATTTTCATCTCTGTTCAATTTGTTTCTCATGACAGCCAAAGAGAAAATGAGTCAGATCTATTCGACATCAGCCGAGGCACAAAAATACCTAGTGGTGCAATGCCTAGCACACCTACACAACTTGCGAAATTACTAAGTATGTCCTACAGGAGATCCCCGTTCAACTGTGTGCTGGGTCTATCCATTTTTTTTTCATTCATGTTCAATTCATTTCTCGTTAAACCCAAAGACAAAATCTTTCAGATGCATTCAATGCTGGCTAAAGGACAACAAGACCCAGCGGTGCAACGTCAGCATACCTGCAAAAATTAATTGTACTGCAAAGAACATATTACTTCAGGAGACCCTCGTTCGACTCGGGGCTGGGTCATTCCTCATGGGTGTCTTTTTTCTTGTTTTCTTTTCTGAGGCTTTGGTCCGAGGCTCACAACAACCCACTAACCAACCCAACCCTGGTGAAGGCACCAAAATACCCAGTGGTGCAATGTTTAGCATGTCTGCACAGGATTGGAAGTTTGAGAGGATTCCGCAGGTCCCCGTTTGACCCGGGGCTGGGTCACTCTTTCTTCTTTCAGCCACATTCTCATGAATTCCGAAGAGAAAATCAGTCAGATATATTCAACACCAGCCAAAGCCCATAAGATCCAATGGTGTAATGCTCACAAAATTGTACAACTCGGGGCTGGGTCATTCAACTGTTTCATGCGATTTTCTTTCTTTTCTACCGAGGGAGACCTTACTGCAGTATCAGATTATCCAAAACATCCTCGTTCAGTCCAGTGAGCAATGTTCAATCTGCACCCATGTAATTTGTCGGCTCCCAGACATGCGGTCGAGCAATAAAGGCACAAAAAACCCTGGGGCAATCAAGCCCAGCCAAAAGCACACAGAGACCCAGTGGTCACACCTACATAATATGTAGGAGACCCCCGTTCAACTTGGGGCTGGGTCAGTCTTTTTTTTTTCTGTCCAAATTCTCTGCAGCACGAATAGGATGGTGCTAATTGACCAGGGCCGCGGTCATATGTATAAAATCTGCATGAAATAATTCATCCCAAAGGTCGTCCAAGTTACGACGCGCACCTCCTGGTCAAGTGTGCATAGCCAATCAAAAACCTGAATGCCAGATACGCATTTTATCCCAGACATATAAGCAACGCCGCGGACACATACCAGAACCGACGCGTTGACTGGCACACAGCGTATTTGGGACTAGACGTGCCTCCCAGTGCTACTCGTGAATCAGTATAACATCTGTAAAATTCTCCAAGACACACTGGATCCAAAGACCCCATGCGGTGGCGACGACGACGACCTGAGAGAACCTAATTGGAGGAAGATAGTGCTGCCCCGGGAATCGAAGCGTAAAGCAAGGTCTTCCCAGAACGTACATCGAGGCACACAGAAAAAACATCCGCATCCGAACCAGTATGAATCATTGATAGGAGGTTGGATGTGGGCTCGGTAATGGAATACAACCAACGCTTAGTAAGTTTGGCCCAACTTCAATTACTAGCTGCGATGCGCGTTTACCTGCATTCTAATACTCACTTGCGGTCGATACTGGCACCACAACAAGGCTCATTTCTCATGCCCACGCTGCCAACATTTTTCAGACCAAGCCGGCCGCCGTGCATAATTTCTTTCAGATTCATCCCTCCTTTGAGGGGACGCAGAGCAATATACACTACTGGAATGTACAACCTTCTCGTCGCTCGCTCCCGTTTCACTCGAATGTTAGTCCACCTGGCTGCAGCTGTAGTTTAACATACTCGGCCCAGGTGCGCGTGGACCGGGCGAGATACCGGCGGCTTGGCGCAGTGTCTTTCCCAGCGTAATCTGCAAACCCACGAAAATTATTTTGGAAGACACGAGACCGGGTAACATGTACGCACATCCACATTCTTCGTAGTATTTCATACTCTCGAGGACTTCCAGCGCGACGCTGTGGGGGAAGCCCGTGGCCTTTATGAAGTCCACGTCGCTGATCGAAGCAAACACAATTTTCTTTCCAGTGACTTGACAGATAAATCAGTCTGCAGCGGGCTGAAAGAAGCTTCGCAGACACTCACTCTCGGCGAGCTGCGAAACCATGTCCCCGATAGAAATAACTTCTCCGGAGGTAAGAATTTCGGAACCGGGGCCAAATTCAGGAGACTCTATCGCTTCGCGCACGAAGAGGCCGTAGTCATGCGCCGTATCTATCACTGGCAGGATGGTGTTTGGCCCCACTGGCAAGGAGAGCTTGTACGTCCCGTCCGCCAAGCGCTTGGGTTTCATTGCATCGAGCTTATAGAAGTTCGACGCGTACCACCCAGCCTGGACATTAATGAACGGGACCCCAGAGTTACGCCCATACTCTGTAATCTCCCCTTTGCCGTTGAAGAAGTGAACATTCGAGTACTTTCCGTTCGAAACCTTGATCACAGACTCGAGGCCAGACCAAATAAACCGGCCAACTCCGACTGCTTTCGCAATGTCAATCAGCATCTTCGCCTCGGCAACTTCCTATGGGCGAATATTCTCGTGTCAAATGGAAATATCTTCGCGTGATAATCTTGAGCACATACTCTCTTCACGTCGAGGTGCTCCCAATAATTCGTCATGACCTGGCGGGCTAATGAGTTCGTGCATGCTCTGCGAAAACGGCCCACCAACAAAAACGACATTGGCTCCCTCGAAAACCTTCTTGACCGCATCCGCATTATCCGCACTGAGCGAAATGCTGACCATCTCGACACCCTGCGCGGCAAACTCGCGCGCAGCTAGTTTTGTCACGTCGCGAGTGAGACCGCGGATGCGATACGGTTTGTCGGACTCCGCCAGGGCTTTGACGACGCTACCGCCCTGGTTGCCTGTTACACCAACCACCACGACGAGAGGGTCAGATGCGTTTTGAGTAATAGTCATTATTGAGAGGGAGAGGTTGAGTTGCTAATAGACGTTCCATGGACGTTCAATTTATGTCGGCTTTAATGCAGGTCATGTGGTCCGCTTGGTCACTCGATAGGGCGCTGTTTATTAATCCGGGTTGTAAACATTGTTTTAAACACCGGTTTATAAACCGGTTTATATATCGTCGGGTCCAAAGAGGTCCAAAGTACCGGTTTTTAAATATAGCCGAGCCCGGACCGGTCGCGGATCACCATGCCAAAAAAAAAACTTTCGTGATCTCTTGTTTGAAATAATGCCACTAAGACCCTTCAAAGTGTAGCAAGTGTGTTACCAGTTACACCACTGAGTCATTTATAGGTTCTTTATAGGGGAGGTGAGCAGGCTATCAGTGTTGTGTGTAAGGAAGGCAAGTTGAACATCGGACAAAAATGTCGTGCATACCACCAGCCTTATAGACTGATACACGCTTGAATCATGTTGTTGTGGAAATAATATGATCAAGTGGAAGAAAAAATGCAACCAAGCAATCCTCCCCGGCCCTTGCTAAAAAAAAAAACTAAAAAAAAAGCTTCATGAGACCATGCATATGACCCAGCCCCGAATCGAACAGGGAGCTCCTGCAGAATCTCCATTTCATGATGAAATTGTGCAGACGTGCTGGACATTGCACCACTAGGTCCTCTTGTCCTTTCAGCTGACTTTGAATACATTTGACTGGTTTTGTTACTACTACTGAGATGCTCTTGATTTAATGAAGCCGTTGTGAAAAAATGGGAGTAAGTAGAAAAGAAATGCGACGAAGTAAGCCTCCCCTGAGATAAAAAAAAAACCGCAATAGTATGACCCAGCCCCGAATTGAAGAGGGATCTCCTGTACAACATGGCGAGCAATGTTGAAAGTTGTGCAGGTGTGTTAAGCATTGGACCACTGGGTCTTTTTGTATTTTCAGCTGGCTGTGAATAGATCTGACTGTCCTCTTGGGATTTTCATGAGAACGGGGGCGAATAAATAAATGTGAGTCAAACGAGGATCTCCTGTAGTAATGTTTCTCACAATGCAATTTGCGCAGGTATGCAGGTCATTGCACTAATGGGTCTTCTTGTCCTTTAAGCTGGTATCAAATACATTTGACTGATTTGGCTTCACATCCGCGTTAAATTTAATTCCATTAACGTGCGCGCGGGCCCCTTGGGGCCCATGTGGCACGGCTACATAATGACTACGAGATAGATAGCGTGAACGGAGGGCGGGCATGAAGGGATCACAGAAGGAGTGGGGCATGGGATGGTGCTATGAGCGTGAAGTATCGTATTTTTAATGGCCATGTCGGTAGTGGGTCGTGACAAGTAAAGTAAACTAATAATGAGACGTGTTGTATGGGGGGAAGAGAGAAAGAGAGTGAGATGAGGAGGAGGAAAGAAATGAAGATGAATAGGTAGAGAGAATGGGAAACAAGAAGAAGGGGGTCATAGCAAATATCTAGGGAAACGGGCGGTGTCGCGGACAAAGTCCAGGGTGGGCTTGTGCTCCGCCTTGGACGACAGCAGGAGTCTGAGAGAGAGACGTGCT